ACAGTGCCAATCTTAAAAGTATTTTACTGCTAATTTTGACTTTCTGTCATTCAAATGTAATAATACGTCAAATACATTTAGCTGTCAAGCTATTTTGCTTGATTAAAATACGTTACTGCTCAAGTAGCAGGGGTATATAGAGCTACTTCACATAGATCAACTAAATTGATGTTGTCTCTTTTCAGACCAAAATTATACTAATTCAATGAGCCCTGCTGTATAAACTTTCTACCAGAGAATAAAGGCTACAGGAAACTCATATTGTTAATTATTATAAATGTTTCTCTTTTTTTTTTTTTTTAATCTTTTTAATATAATTACTCAAAATGATGCTCAGTCTACAAATGTGGACATAAAATTAAGGTAAGTGCTGGTACATAATTCAATTTTCTTTCTAATTTAATAGCATTTGCTTATGAGATAGAATGTGATTGTGAGGGCGGTATCTAATATGTAACAATTTGATCAGCACTGGAATTAAAATATTAGTTAAAATTGGAAGGTAGGCTGGAAAGAAGCTCATTCACCAAGACGTTCATCGATATTGTTTTGGAACAAATACAGCAAGGAGTTCTACGTAACTGTTAATGTATAGTATTGAAGCGATCAGTCAGTTGAAAAAAACAAATGTAAATTGATGCTCCCACCTCCAATAGACAGGGTAATACTGTGAAAATATCTTCTGGTAAGATTAAGATGGTATCCTGACATAGGTAATGTTGCTAGTTAATTGCACCATGTTACATGAATATATATCTACAGTTGGGATTAATGGACATGCTCTCCCACTCAATGCCAGTGCTCTGGACTGAGGGGGGCTGGGGAGAGAGGGATGATACTGTGGTAAGAAGAACACAACAACACTCAGGCAGGGGGTATGGTGGAGGACCAAATTGAGGATGGGGTGGTAGAATGGGGCAGGAAATCTGGCAGGTGTTCCAGAGACAAATGCTGCAAGGGGTGCAGAGTATATAGATCGAGGGTGCAGAGCGAATGGCATGGTAGAAGATTTAATGAAAACGCCAGTGCAGAAGGAATGTCAAAGGGTGACATAGCAGGGTAGAAGAAAAGTATGCACACACAAAAATATACTGACACACTTAGATCAAAATGCTATGCTGCCTTAAACACATACTTTCACTCTACACAGATACAAAACCACATTCACACATGTTCATTTTACACAAATACAACTCCATTCACAGAGACTTTAATTCTACACTAATACATCCTCACTTTTACACATGCATCCACACTACACTAAAACTGCCCAACTTTCACACTCACTGCCACACTACACAAAATGCCCTCGCATTCACACACTGTCATGATAGGATGAGACGTGTCAGAGGGTGAGGGACAGTTTGAGGTCAGATGCTGAAAGTTATCTCCTGTGTGGCGTACATGCAGGACCTATTTTTAGTACCAGTCTGACCCTGGTTCTGAGCATGTGTGAACTGATTGATCAATTTAATACATACAGAGTTATAGGTGGAGCTGTGGAGTACCTTGAACAATCTGGAAAATAGAATATATGCAAATAGCGTAGTATGTCTATACAATATATAGCATATAAAAATGAGAATAAAAGCACTCACAAGGATGGAGTCATACCGTCATATGACTCTTAAAGTATGTTCTCTTGGACCATTAGGGGGTTGTCCAAACCCTTCTTTTGTTGATTGCTTGTTATTTCTCCTGATGGTCTTCAATAAAGATACTCAGTATGCCAGGGATCTTGGAAAATAATTCTTGTTTATTTGTAGATAAATAATAAAATGGCAATATACTAAACCAATATATATTGGGTGTAGATATAGTCCAATAAAAAGTCTATCAAAGTTGAAAATGAGTGTCCAAAACGCGTTTCGCCTGATTAACAGGCTTCCTCAGTTGGCTCTAATGTTTCTTCCAAAGTTTTCTTTGTTTGAAAATGCCGCCGGCCGGCTGTGTCTTCTTTTATATGGCACTTCCTGATTCCGTCTGGTGGAACGCAACGTGCGCTCCACCTACGGCACCAACTTCCGGGACGCACCGCAAGTGGAACGCACGTGCGCCCCAACCCCGTGCGCACACCGGAACTTCAGCACCAACTTCCGGGTGGAGCGTCCGTGCGCTCCAACCCGGCGCCAACCTCCGCAATGCACCACAAGTGGAACGCACGTGCGTTCCAACTTCAAGCAGCAAATTCACTTCCGGGTCTCTCTCTACTTCCGGGTCACACTCAGGTGGAACGCACGTGCGCTCCACTCCCAGCCTCACATCAGGTGGCCAAATGCAAACATAAAAAATGGCGTTCTGCCTATATTTACACCAATAGAGTGTGACATATAGAATTATAAGTGCTATGTTTTAAATAAAAATAATATAAAAAGTCAGATAATATGGAAAAGAGTAAAAATCAAATTTAATGAGAAGGAATAAAAACTAATTCTATTAGTTTTAGAAGATTGCTATCACAATCTTAAAGGGGCAGAATGTCATTTCTAGAAAATTTATAAAAATGCACAGTAAAAACTGAATAAAATACATATAATACCCAATAGTAAAAGAAACACAAAAATAGTATATAAGTGTATAAAAAGATGCCTAAAAACTTCCATAAAATAATATGAAACCAAGATAGGCTAAAACTAATGCATAAAGTGGCATAATTCAAAATCATTGTTCAGACCGTTTGGAATCATAGTGTCAAAATTGAATATGAACTTCATCTCTTCCTTTCCTAATTTGTTTACATAATCACCACCTCTCCAATCTTTTTTTACTAATTTTAAAGCACAAAAAAACATTCCTTCTGGATTTTGTTGGTGAACATGTTTAAAATGATTTGAAACACTATGGGTTTCGACTCCATTTTTGATGTTTCTTATATGTTCCGCTATTCTTAAATTCAATTTACGAATTGTACGGCCTACATATAGAAGATTGCAGGGACATTTTAAAATATAGATCACTCCCTTCGAATGGCATGTTAGATGATCTCTAATGGTAAATTTCTTGTTAATAATGGATTCTAGGTCTGTTAGGTGTCTTTTTTTATTCTTTGTATTTTTACATGCTAGACACTGTCCGCATCCATAAAATCCTTTACCTATTGTAAGGAAGGTTTGTCCTACTGTTTGTTCTTTATTACTACTTTTAACTAAAGTGTTTCTCAAGTTTTTTACACCTCTAAAGATGACTTTTGGTTTTTCTGGTAATATATTTTTAAGAATAGGGTCATCTTTTAGTATATGCCAATGTTTTCCTATAATTTTATGCATTTTCCTACTGTTGCCATGGTAGTTGCATATGAAGGGGATGTCTTGTTTCTTAATTAAATCTTTCTTTTTCTGTTTATATTTTAGAAGGTCTGTTCTTTGTATTTCTTGAACCTCATTTATGGCTAATTGGAGGGAAACATCGTCATAACCTTTTTCCAGAAATTGTACTTTAATCTTATTTGCTTGCTCTAAAAAGTCTTGTTCATTCGTACAATTCCTTCTTATACGTAGGAATTGTCCTTTCGGAGCGTTACTTAACCAAGGAAGGTAGTGACAACTCTCTCTTCTGATGTAGCTGTTGGCATCTACATCTTTAAAATGATTCTTGGTAGTAATAGTGCCATGTGTAATAAATATCTCCAAATCTAAAAAATTAATTTGTTGGGTGCTAGTTTGTGCTGTTAAAATAATATTCCACTGATTGTTATTCAAATGACTGATAAAAGATAGTAGATCTGTGTGGGATGCTGTCCAAACAAAAAATATATCATCTATATACCGGCGGTAGGATACCAAGCTCGCCCCCCATGGGTGCCCTTGATAAATAAACTGTTCTTCCCAGTATGCCATGAAGAGGTTGGCATAGCTAGGGGCGAACTTGGTACCCATCGCCGTACCTCTGATCTGTAAATAGAACGTCTCATTGAACCAGAAAAAGTTATTGGTTAAAACTAGATTGATCCCTTCTAAAATGAATAAAATTTGTTCATTCTTAAAACTGTGTTTCTTTAAAAAATATTCTACTGCTTCTAGACCCTTCTCGTGTGGTATGATACTATATAGGGATGTCACATCACATGTGACTAACAGGTTACCTTCTTGCCATAAAGTGGTTTCTAAGATTTGTAGAATATGAATCGTGTCCTTCAAATAAGCTGGATTTTGAACAACTAATGGTTGTAGGAGATGGTCTAGATATTCCGAGATTTTTGCTGAAACGGAGTTGACTCCCGATATTATAGGTCGTCCTGGGGGGTTGGCTTTGTTTTTATGTATTTTAGGGAGATGGTAATATACGGGCATTATTGGGTGGGGAGTGGTAAGGTATTTAGCTTCCTGCGAAGTCAGAATGCCATTCTCTAGTCCTTTAGATATATAATTGTCAAACTTCGTCTTCACCATTTCAGTTGGATTTTTGTCTAGTATTATATATGTATCTCGATCTGCAAGTATTCGCTCAGCTTCTAAAAGATATTTGTTTTTTGGAATGACCACCACCCCCCCACCTTTATCAGCTGGTTTAATTACTATCTCTTTGTTTTGTTGTAAGTTTTTCATTGCTCCCCTTTCCTTTCTAGACATATTTTGATGGTATTTGTTTAACGGCTTTATTTGTTTCACTTCTTTCATTACCATTAGTTCAAAAGCTTTTATTTCATCTGATATTAAGTGTTTCGGAAAAAAGTTGGATTTAGCTTTTAAGTCCGTATGTATATATTCTGACAAAGTGTTTTCACTGGGTCTGTCCTCTTTATTAAAAAAGAATTTCTTTAAGCATAATTGTCTAATAAATTTATTAATATCAATATAAAAATCAAATTTATTAATGTCGACTGTGGGGGCGAATTTTAAACCTTTTTGGAGTATCTCCATTTGTTCTTTGGGTAATTGTGTATCAGTTAAATTAAAAATTCCTTCTGTTGTTATTTTCTCCCCCTCTTTTCTCTGTGTGTGTTTTCCTCTCTTTCTATGTCTCTTTCTTGAGTTGATGACCTCTGACGTTTGCCTGGGGACTCCCAAATTTTGATATGTCGGGATTGTTTTAGTCTCTCTGAGATTGGGTCCTTCCATAAAAAAGAAGGTGAATGTTCTGTTCTAAATATGTCTGGTTTATTACCTATATCTACCCTAGAGGTGTGTGGTTGTCTCTCTGTTCTATTTGACACATATGTTGTGGGTACTGATTTTCGGTCATTTCTTTCAGGAATATTTGACTGTACAGCTTGACTGTAGCTGCTGTATTTAGGTCGTCTTACTGGGGATGGGTGGTATGGCTTAGTATTACCCCTTGGGTGTTTATTAAAGTTATCGTATCTCTGATATTCCTTTCTTGAGATATCGTGATACTTATTATATCTTGGATAATGTTTAGACGGTGTATTGTGATATTCTATTGTATTTTTGTGTCGCCTTATATCTTGCTCTGGTCTGTGTTGTGGACTATTTTGCCTTCTAGAATGGTGTTTTTTGTCCTGTTTTCTATAAGTATCTTTCTCTCTTTGGTTAGGGTATGTTTTGAATTTACTTGAGGGATTAATACCTTCTACTTTATAGTCATTTACATCTCTGAGATATTTTTTCTTTTTTGTCTCAATAACTTCTCTCTCTATTTTTTCTACTTTTTCATTGATGTCTTTTAATATTTGGTTATATAACTCAGGATTCATGGTATTGCTGATTTTTTCTTTCCAGTCTTTAATTTCTTTATCTAGTTGTAATAGAGTGTCTTCTCTTCTAGATACAATATAGCCTATAGTGCTGAATGCGAAGCCTTCTAACATTTTATTCCAACCTGTGATAAAACCTTCATCTTCTCTGTCGAAAGTGGGATTTTTGTAGTATCTAAGACCTCTAGGGGTAATTCCCTCCCTTACATATTTTTTTAGGGTCGCTACTTCCCATTTGGTCTTCATTTCTTTAATTAATGTTTTTTCCAAATTATATTTACATTGATCGGCATCTTTGTAATTTGTTACATTTGTCGGATTGTCTTTACATACAAACATTAAGTCTATGTTGCTTGTAGAATAATCTCTACATTCATGTAGAGCCATATTGGTAAATAAGTTTTCACTGTCGTGTAATAGGGATAAAGTGAATACAATAGTACAGAATAATAATATACACGCTGTGAAAGACAAATAAGTAGCTCTAAAACACCTAAAAGAGTGGTATCCCTTACACCGCTAAAAACATAATATAATACATACAGAGTTATAGGTGGAGCTGTGGAATACCTTGAACAATCTGGAAAATAGAATATATGCAAATAGCGTAGTATGTCTATACAATATATAGCATATAAAAATGAGAATAAAAGCACTCACAAGGATGGAGTCATACCGTCATATGACTCTTAAAGTATGTTCTCTTGGACCATTAGGGGGTTGTCCAAACCCTTCTTTTGTTGATTGCTTGTTATTTCTCCTGATGGTCTTCAATAAAGATACTCAGTATGCCAGGGATCTTGGAAAATAATTCTTGTTTATTTGTAGATAAAATAATAAAATGGCAATATACTAAACCAATATATATTGGGTGTAGATATAGTCCAATAAAAAGTCTATCAAAGTTGAAAATGAGTGTCCAAAACGCGTTTCGCCTGATTAACAGGCTTCCTCAGTTGGCTCTAATGTTTCTTCCAAAGTTTTCTTTGTTTGAAAATGCCGCCGGCCGGCTGTGTCTTCTTTTATATGGCACTTCCTGATTCCGTCTGGTGGAACGCAACGTGCGCTCCACCTACGGCACCAACTTCCGGGACGCACCGCAAGTGGAACGCACGTGCGCCCCAACCCCGTGCGCACACCGGAACTTCAGCACCAACTTCCGGGTGGAGCGTCCGTGCGCTCCAACCCGGCGCCAACCTCCGCAATGCACCACAAGTGGAACGCACGTGCGTTCCAACTTCAAGCAGCAAATTCACTTCCGGGTCTCTCTCTACTTCCGGGTCACACTCAGGTGGAACGCACGTGCGCTCCACTCCCAGCCTCACATCAGGTGGCCAAATGCAAACATAAAAAATGGCGTTCTGCCTATATTTACACCAATAGAGTGTGACATATAGAATTATAAGTGCTATGTTTTAAATAAAAATAATATAAAAAGTCAGATAATATGGAAAAGAGTAAAAATCAAATTTAATGAGAAGGAATAAAAACTAATTCTATTAGTTTTAGAAGATTGCTATCACAATCTTAAAGGGGCAGAATGTCATTTCTAGAAAATTTATAAAAATGCACAGTAAAAACTGAATAAAATACATATAATACCCAATAGTAAAAGAAACACAAAAATAGTATATAAGTGTATAAAAAGATGCCTAAAAACTTCCATAAAATAATATGAAACCAAGATAGGCTAAAACTAATGCATAAAGTGGCATAATTCAAAATCATTGTTCAGACCGTTTGGAATCATAGTGTCAAAATTGAATATGAACTTCATCTCTTCCTTTCCTAATTTGTTTACATAATCACCACCTCTCCAATCTTTTTTTACTAATTTTAAAGCACAAAAAAACATTCCTTCTGGATTTTGTTGGTGAACATGTTTAAAATGATTTGAAACACTATGGGTTTCGACTCCATTTTTGATGTTTCTTATATGTTCCGCTATTCTTAAATTCAATTTACGAATTGTACGGCCTACATATAGAAGATTGCAGGGACATTTTAAAATATAGATCACTCCCTTCGAATGGCATGTTAGATGATCTCTAATGGTAAATTTCTTGTTAATAATGGATTCTAGGTCTGTTAGGTGTCTTTTTTTATTCTTTGTATTTTTACATGCTAGACACTGTCCGCATCCATAAAATCCTTTACCTATTGTAAGGAAGGTTTGTCCTACTGTTTGTTCTTTATTACTACTTTTAACTAAAGTGTTTCTCAAGTTTTTTACACCTCTAAAGATGACTTTTGGTTTTTCTGGTAATATATTTTTAAGAATAGGGTCATCTTTTAGTATATGCCAATGTTTTCCTATAATTTTATGCATTTTCCTACTGTTGCCATGGTAGTTGCATATGAAGGGGATGTCTTGTTTCTTAATTAAATCTTTCTTTTTCTGTTTATATTTTAGAAGGTCTGTTCTTTGTATTTCTTGAACCTCATTTATGGCTAATTGGAGGGAAACATCGTCATAACCTTTTTCCAGAAATTGTACTTTAATCTTATTTGCTTGCTCTAAAAAGTCTTGTTCATTCGTACAATTCCTTCTTATACGTAGGAATTGTCCTTTCGGAGCGTTACTTAACCAAGGAAGGTAGTGACAACTCTCTCTTCTGATGTAGCTGTTGGCATCTACATCTTTAAAATGATTCTTGGTAGTAATAGTGCCATGTGTAATAAATATCTCCAAATCTAAAAAATTAATTTGTTGGGTGCTAGTTTGTGCTGTTAAAATAATATTCCACTGATTGTTATTCAAATGACTGATAAAAGATAGTAGATCTGTGTGGGATGCTGTCCAAACAAAAAATATATCATCTATATACCGGCGGTAGGATACCAAGTTCGCCCCCCATGGGTGCCCTTGATAAATAAACTGTTCTTCCCAGTATGCCATGAAGAGGTTGGCATAGCTAGGGGCGAACTTGGTACCCATCGCCGTACCTCTGATCTGTAAATAGAACGTCTCATTGAACCAGAAAAAGTTATTGGTTAAAACTAGATTGATCCCTTCTAAAATGAATAAAATTTGTTCATTCTTAAAACTGTGTTTCTTTAAAAAATATTCTACTGCTTCTAGACCCTTCTCGTGTGGTATGATACTATATAGGGATGTCACATCACATGTGACTAACAGGTTACCTTCTTGCCATAAAGTGGTTTCTAAGATTTGTAGAATATGAATCGTGTCCTTCAAATAAGCTGGATTTTGAACAACTAATGGTTGTAGGAGATGGTCTAGATATTCCGAGATTTTTGCTGAAACGGAGTTGACTCCCGATATTATAGGTCGTCCTGGGGGGTTGGCTTTGTTTTTATGTATTTTAGGGAGATGGTAATATACGGGCATTATTGGGTGGGGAGTGGTAAGGTATTTAGCTTCCTGCGAAGTCAGAATGCCATTCTCTAGTCCTTTAGATATATAATTGTCAAACTTCGTCTTCACCATTTCAGTTGGATTTTTGTCTAGTATTATATATGTATCTCGATCTGCAAGTATTCGCTCAGCTTCTAAAAGATATTTGTTTTTTGGAATGACCACCACCCCCCCACCTTTATCAGCTGGTTTAATTACTATCTCTTTGTTTTGTTGTAAGTTTTTCATTGCTCCCCTTTCCTTTCTAGACATATTTTGATGGTATTTGTTTAACGGCTTTATTTGTTTCACTTCTTTCATTACCATTAGTTCAAAAGCTTTTATTTCATCTGATATTAAGTGTTTCGGAAAAAAGTTGGATTTAGCTTTTAAGTCCGTATGTATATATTCTGACAAAGTGTTTTCACTGGGTCTGTCCTCTTTATTAAAAAAGAATTTCTTTAAGCATAATTGTCTAATAAATTTATTAATATCAATATAAAAATCAAATTTATTAATGTCGACTGTGGGGGCGAATTTTAAACCTTTTTGGAGTATCTCCATTTGTTCTTTGGGTAATTGTGTATCAGTTAAATTAAAAATTCCTTCTGTTGTTATTTTCTCCCCCTCTTTTCTCTGTGTGTGTTTTCCTCTCTTTCTATGTCTCTTTCTTGAGTTGATGACCTCTGACGTTTGCCTGGGGACTCCCAAATTTTGATATGTCGGGATTGTTTTAGTCTCTCTGAGATTGGGTCCTTCCATAAAAAAGAAGGTGAATGTTCTGTTCTAAATATGTCTGGTTTATTACCTATATCTACCCTAGAGGTGTGTGGTTGTCTCTCTGTTCTATTTGACACATATGTTGTGGGTACTGATTTTCGGTCATTTCTTTCAGGAATATTTGACTGTACAGCTTGACTGTAGCTGCTGTATTTAGGTCGTCTTACTGGGGATGGGTGGTATGGCTTAGTATTACCCCTTGGGTGTTTATTAAAGTTATCGTATCTCTGATATTCCTTTCTTGAGATATCGTGATACTTATTATATCTTGGATAATGTTTAGACGGTGTATTGTGATATTCTATTGTATTTTTGTGTCGCCTTATATCTTGCTCTGGTCTGTGTTGTGGACTATTTTGCCTTCTAGAATGGTGTTTTTTGTCCTGTTTTCTATAAGTATCTTTCTCTCTTTGGTTAGGGTATGTTTTGAATTTACTTGAGGGATTAATACCTTCTACTTTATAGTCATTTACATCTCTGAGATATTTTTTCTTTTTTGTCTCAATAACTTCTCTCTCTATTTTTTCTACTTTTTCATTGATGTCTTTTAATATTTGGTTATATAACTCAGGATTCATGGTATTGCTGATTTTTTCTTTCCAGTCTTTAATTTCTT